GACTAAGATGAATCAAGCTTAATAAAGAAAGATGCAAACTAAAATACACTTAGCTGATTAGCCAATACTTTTTTTTTTCTTAGAGAGAGAGAGAGAGAGAGAGGAATAGCTGTAGCACTTAGCAGTCTTGTGCAATGTTAATTGGAATTTTATTGTCTGAATTTCTATCTAAATAGTGTATAAATTACAAAGTTTGTATGCTAATTAAAATTAAATTTACAAAAAAACAAAAAAAAAAGGTGAGAGAAAAGCTTAATTGAAATTACATGTGGTCTCCTGTCCTGTCTTCTCCTTTATGATTTTAACTCCATAATTTATTATTTAAAAAATGGCCTGATATCTCTGCAGTTAGTAGTAGAGTTTAATTGATCATTATCTGCAGTTAGTAGTAGAGTTTAACTGATCATTATTTTGTTCAATCTTTGCAGACCATTCATTCTCCAGATTCTTTTTTTTTAAAAAAAATTAGTTTCTGCAGGAAATACAATAATATACAACATGAATTGCATTATCTATGATATATTTATCAGTCTATGCAGCTGCAATTAACAAGAGTAGAAGTATTTAACAGCAAATTATTGTTATATATGGTAATCAAAATCTCTATACTGACCACCTTCACAAGATGATGCAAGTGGTTTTCTCAAAATTCAAACCCCACCCACCCCCCAAAAAAGAATTTCTGATTCAAGAAATGAAGAACAAAGCAGGAGATTCTGAGAAAGTGAACGCATAAAACGATAAGCAACATGCAGATAACAATAATGATATCTTTTTCCTTGTCAAAGATGCCGCATGAGTTCTTGAGTGCAGAAATGGAGAATAATCAGTTATTATGGTAAATTATTCAGTGCCACAATAGATAACCAATAATATGATATAGAAATAAACCATCAAACCGATTTCAAAGTATAAATTCTTTACAAAATTGGTGGTATTTTTAAATTTTTTTGGCAATCAATTGAACCTTCATATGAGTTGGCAAAAAAAGTGCATGTATTGCTTGAGTTTGCTACATATTCTCTGATATGACTATGTTTATACATCAAATTTGAATGATTAACCAACAACTAATCAAACAAAATTTAGTTTTGATTTTTCTTTGTTATTTTTTCTCACATATATATTTATATACACACACACTCGTACAAGTTAGGAGAGCGGAGAAATGGACTATAACAAAGCTAGGAATATTAGTCGTACATTTGTACAATGGTAGTACATTGCCGTAAGAAAAGTGTATAGTTAGAGTTTTTTAAAAATAAATCTTGTGAGTTAATGATTATTGGATAACAACTTATATTTAATTATCTTGGTACCAAAAGCTGCTAAAAAATATTCTTTTAAATAATTTGTTCAAATTGAAAGATTTTTCTTAAATCCCAAAAAGTAAATATCTGATCGAGAGTTACGAAGTCAGCTTTTCCAATTGGAAAAAAACAATCTAAAAAAAAGGAAAAAGACAGATAAAATAACTTTTATCCCTTTCTTTTTGAACATGGATTCAAGCTCTTCCTTTTCACGAATTTCCCCTAAATAATTTGTATCCCCTTCTTTTTTAGAGCATGGCAGCAAAAGATTTGAAAGTAAAATTCAGCATTTCCCTTTAAACGTTCTACCTGGGCAAAGTTCTTTTAACGTGTTTATCTAAAATTTTACTATAAACAATAGTTGTTCTATAAAAAAAGGTTGGTATTTGTGCAAAACACACTATTTTTATAAAACACCCTTTCCCTTATCCCCCTCTACTCGCTATCCATCACTGGCAACCTCTATCATTCACCACCATTACCTACTTCTGTCACTAGTACCCTACTTAATGTATTATTTTTTCTGGGTGTTTTTAAAAAATTTGTGGTGTTGTAGAGTGTTAAGATGGATGATGTTTAAACAAACTTTATTTTTCTAAAATGAGTCAAAAATATATGCCATCCAAACAGACCATCCAAATAGTGAATATATTCAAGAACCCACAAAAAGTGATGGAGAAAAAGTGTAGTTATAAAAACCTGAAGAGTAGTACCCAAGTTGAACTCATCATCACCTTGTAAAATGAGACGGATATGTGATTTTTTTTTTTTTTTGTTTATTTGTAAGTTGGACTCATCATCACCTTCATATTCCTTGATTATTTAGCGTCATATACATCACCTTGATGATTCGCATCAAAATTTGTCACCTTTTTTTTTCAGCATTACTGAGATCAGATAATATTGAAGATGCGATCCAAGCATACAGGTCAGTTTTGGAAGTGTGCTAACTGCTAAGTATGATGTTCATATATTGGTTGACATTCTACTTGGATAAAAAACTTTCAACATTACCTCTACACAGTTACTATTGAAAAAGTCAAATATCAATTTTTCTCAATATTTTATTTATATTATAACACATTTTTCAATCATTTTTTTTATTTTTCTAATCACCTTTTTATCTCATATACATTGTATAAAAAATATTTATACTACAATAATGATTTCAAATAATCGCCTATCTAAGCATAATACTTAGATGATAACCATGAATATAACCATGGTCTACAAAGATGTTAGTCCTCTATACTATACTCAAATAGGTTGGCTGCCCTAGATCTTTAGGTACATGGGAAAAACTTCCACTTCTAAATACTGGGGGACTTTTCATTAAAATATATTTTTTTTTTTGGGAGTTCATGTCTTATTGTTATTGTTGTCTTCCCATGGAGCTCTAGTCGTCATGGCACAAATTTTCTTGAGAAACCATCTAACGTGAACTCAAAGCTAGATTTCGAGCCTAAAGTGTTCTGATTGCCAAAAGGTTATCATCTAAGTAAATAGTTACATGCAGGACAGAGTGTCAAGATTAAAGCCTTGTTTAATAACCTAGTTCAGCATTTAAAATTAATGGATTAAGATCTTAACATATTCAGATTATTTGATAACCAAAAATTGAGCATCTGATTAATTAAGTTGCACTGAATTTCTTAAGCAAAACTTGCTCCCAAAATTAAGTGATAAGCTATTCACTTATCACTGAATGTGATATGCACTCAATTGTATTAGATTTAATACTTAATAATTCAATAATTTAATGGATTCAAACTTCAGTTTTCAGACTTCAATTTTATCAAACGCACCCTAAGTCTTTTCCTTAATCTTCTTTTCTTAATTCCATTGTTCTTTTCTTTTTCTGCTTGAATAATCAGTAATACTTGAGTTCTTGATAAGGAGTATCACTAAAAGATGAATCAAATTACTCGATATTTGAATCGAGCATGGCTCAATAAGAGCCCGTTCATGTTTGGCTTGCTAGCTAATCAAGTTTGAATATCATTTTGTGTTTGATAAACTTTCAAATTTGATTCGAATTCAATTTGATTAGCATATAAGTGAAATTTATATAAGAAGTTCACACTATTTGAGCTCAACTCAGAGTTCAACTCGATAAAAGCTGTTTCGAATTAGACTCAAGAAGCAAATAAGTTAAGTTTGAACAAAATTTCAAATTCATCAAAATAATCAAACAAATCTAAACACTAGGGTATTCGACTTGTTTAAATTCCTTTACATCCCTAAACAGGAGAGCTCTATCGGGATATTTTTCTTTTCCTGTTTAGGTAGAAAATTTAAATAGTTATAAAATACTTTTATCAGAGGGTTGAATCAAGATTCCTTGATCGGTGACTCTTTAACTCTTTTCCCTGAGAAGAACTCTGCTAGTTGACTATGGAACTAGAGAGAGCCGCGCCACTTGGAGCTCACTGGATTTAATTAATAGCCGGGAAGTCCACCGTTGCCAGGTTACAGTTGCAGGTTCCAAAGCAACTTTTGCCTATATTGGAAAACACAAATCTTTTTCTTTCTTCAGATCAGCATTAGTCAAAGAGAATCATGTCCACCGATTTGAAGAAAGGTTGCTCTTCCTCGGTTCCTCCAAGCCCAGATGTTCTGGAAGAAGTAAAGAAATGCATATGAATGATTAAATAAATGGTTCTTCTATAATTCGCTGTTAGCTAAATATATACATTGCAATACTTTTGGACTTTTTCATTGGTGGAGAAGGAGCTGCTGCCTTGGTCTCGGCCACATGTCCTCTAGTCTACAGGTTTCTCTGAAGTGCGTTGCTGCTGAGATTTGGCCGGGTGCTGCAAGGCTTTTTTACTTACTTTGCATAATTTGCACTTTTTTCAGCCATAGGATCGAGGTTGGATTTGGCAATGTTGCTTAACTTAGACTTGTTCTGATTTTTTTCAGCAACAACTCACTAACTTGCTTAACACATAAATCATGGGGAAAATTTATGGAAAAAGCATGCAAAAAAACTACATAAAGTTCACTTGATTGATCTGCATAATCATGAATGTCTATAATTTTGACAGAGACCTCGACATCGATCCAAGGTTTATATATTTTCATTGGCATTAATATCAAGCATATCTAAAAGTACAGGCCTTTCCACATTCACTTTGTACAACCTGAAGAATTTCATGACTTGGTTAATTGGCCTTCTCTTCCTGGTTTGTATAGTCCTAATTTGTTTTTCCTCTTAATGATTTCCTGTTGTCTTGGATCATCAAATGCGGCAGAATTTGCCCTAAGCCTTTCCTTATTTCTGATACATGTATTTTCTTCACGTAATTGGCCGGCTAATTAGGATTCTTGAAGAGTGTTAAAGGGATTAATAAAAAAAAATAAAGAACTTTGCTTCCCTCTGTTTTGTCTTCAACGCCACAATAGCACATATATCAGTTGAACACAAAAGTACTCCTTTAAGAGCACGTTCTTATTGCGCTAGAATCATCACGTGTAAATCTTGAATGGGTATTCAGCCTAATGTGATTGTCATGAATCTACTAATTAAAATATTCAATCACATCCAATTTAAATTGACTGGACAAGCCTAGTATAAATAGCTAATCTCGATTACTAAACAAGTGTGCCTATTACTACTAGCCTGTTAGTCAAAAAGGAAAAAAAAATTACTACCAGCCTGACTTGCCCCAACGGGAGCCATCACCTACTATGGCCAACAAGCCCGACTCAACTTCAATAGTTAGTATGAATTCTCCAACAAGGAATTCCCGTGATGATTTATCTATGCTGGAGCAAGCAAAGAAAACAGTTAAACGCGTAATGATTGCCAAAATGGTTTCAAAGCCCGAGTCTCCTTCAATCTATCAGTAGGTGATCAGTTTAGCTATGCTGATTACTATGCACCGTGTACTAGCTAGTGTAATGTGATTTCCATCTATTTAGGTGTTAAATACTGAAATTTTATCATTTACTTGTGTGGAAAAAGCACTTGCAGAGCTAGTTGGCACCTACATATTCATATTTATAGGTGTTGGATCCATGGTTCAAAGTCGTGGTCGCGGTCGCGGTCCGGAACGTTCCACATCGGTTTCGGCATATCAGTCGCGGTCTCGATGAGATGCAAATTTTAAAGTATTTAATATTCTAAAAATTATTAATAATATAAAAAAAGTATGCTAAACAAAAATAATAAAAAATAGCAAAAGAAATGGCCAAGTCAATCCGTCACGGTATAACTCGGCCGATTTCTCGTCTTGACTCGGTGTGACTCGACCGAGTCAATCCGTCGCGGTGACGTCTCGGCCGATTTCTCGGCGAGTTAAGTATCTCGGTATCGTTTCGTCAAGGTATCGTATCGGTAGGAGTCGAGACGGTGACGACTCGGCCGAGTCGTCTCGGTCTCGGCCGAGACTTCGAACCATGGTTGGATCGGGTTCTTGTTGATAGAATAACTCCACTCACAATCATTCATGCATGTGATTGTATTGTAGGTGGCTTATCTATGTCGTCTGTCAGTTGGTCGGTTCAACGCTTGCATGCCTAACCTTGAAGTTGTTATTCAATGGGCAACCTGATATACTTCCAATTCTTACTCAGCACAAAAGCTCATGCTCAACTAGTGATGTTGAAGCAATAGCGTGGGAACTCATTATCATTTTCATTCTAATGTTCGTCTGTGCAGCAGTACCTGAAGATCCCTCCGCAAGTAATCCTTAAACAATAGTAACTAGAAGCTAAATGCATAATAGGATCAAGTAAGTATGTTTAGCTGCTGGAGAAAGTTTTCTTGTGATCTTTTGACAAAAAGCTTTGTTGGATTCATGCATGAAAACAGAACAAGGCACTATCTGGGGTGGCAATTGGAGGTGCAGTCTCGTTTAATGTCATCATAGCTGGGTAAAGACAACCTCAATTTAGATCACATTACCAATTCTTTCTGTCTCTTTCAAGAAAAAAATTTAAAAAAAAAAACTTGTAAAGGTGACTTGCTTTTTAATGAAAAATGCAGGCCCATCACTGGAGCTTCAATGAATCCGGGAAGGAGTATCGGAGCTGCAATAGCCGCTGGTGCCTATAAAAACCTTTGGGTCTACATCGTGGCACCCGTCCTTGGCTCCCTGGCTGCAATACTGGTATACTGTCTCCTCCGAGTGCCAGAGTCAGAAAAGGAAGAAACTAGCACCAATGTCAATCATAAAGATTTTTACTTTCATCCTGATGTATGAATGAGATATCCCCTGATAATAGTAATGAAGCCTGCAAAGAAGCCAAAGGCATATGGCAAAATGGATTTTGATCAGTAGAATGGGAATTTCTATTTTTTTTTAAATTATTACTAGTAATGTTGTACGCGCTAAATGTAGAATATTTTTAGAAGGTTTGTAAGAAATCTATATAAATTTGGTAACAAAAGTTACCTATTCGTTTTTTGAGGAAGTTTGGTTTTCTTTTTTTAGGCCTTTCAAGCAAGATAGTTGCATGGACAATATTCCTTGTTATGAGAATTATCTTCTTTGACATGCCTATAATTTCACAAAATCAATTCAATTTCATTGTTGACATTTGCATAAAAAAGTGTTTGTTTTGTTGACACTTTTATTTGAGAGCAAGTACGACTTATTGTATTTCCTAATTTTGTGATGATATCATCAAATATGATAGCTTAAACTCTTTTTCCCTGATATTTTTTTTGGTTATAACTTAGAAATGGTAATAAGGTGTACAATATAAATTAAAAGATAAACATGAAAGTACACATTTTCTCACCTCATCATCAACAAAAACTAATTTCTATTAGTGTTCTAGATTTTTGTTTTCCAACATAAGGCTCAATATTAAATTTTCATAACAGTAAGACTCAAATTGTCCACATCTTTTTATCCAACTTTAGTGAATTCATCAAACCACCATCATTTTCTCCAACACCAAAACTCTCGCTGTTTTTGTCGTCCACTCCATCTCTTCGGTCACCTGCTTGATTCAACCTTTCCCTTGTTGGATCCTTAATCTAACGTTAGGCTTATATGTGAATAATTATGTGTTGTAGACTGTCAATTAAAGTGATTAAATTCAATTAAAGTGATTAATTATGAATTGAATTTTAATGTATCTCATAGGATGTGAGTTTTTAATGTGTAGAGACTTAAGGATAATTTCTATGATGGGTTGAAATAAGAATCTAAAAGATAACATGAATGTTATCTATAAATAGAATTATGGTCTCCAAGTCACACGTATTCTTATTGTCGTATTTTTCTAGTACTACAAAATAACTCTTTCCTGATATCTCATCGTCAGGAAAGATACCAGAGAGAAATTAAATGACTTTCTCAAGAATTGACAAATACGTGCTGACCTCAAAGGTCACCCTAAAATCTCTAGGGATTCAAATACCAGTTTGTCAATATGAATACAAGTATACTTTGATAATTTTGCTGTTAACTTATTTTTTAACAATCGCCATAAAGATTTTGGGTTTAATAGGTGATGGTTTTCACCAAAAGTTAATATAAACTAGCACCCTAACAAGTGATATCAGAGTAGGATATGGTTGATTATTAAGAAATAATTTGGTTTTAAATAATTCATAGTTTTCAAGTTTTTTTTAACTAGAATTATTTTTATTTTGATTGTGCGGCGGTTGACAATCTTGAATTGTGATTTTAATGTAATTTGTTTGCTTATATTTTCAATAAATTTGTATTGTCCAATTTATTACTTTTGATTACATATGAATCCATAAGTTTGCCGAAATCAATAAACATGATGCACAATCAAGTACACATATTTGCTTTGTTTGTTATGATTAGTTAGCACATGGTTCAAGTACACATGGTTCCAAGATCACGTGTGCTTGTCTTGCTTAATTGTTGAATTTTGTTAAACTCTTGATATGTGGGATCCACATACTTTCCATGATATAAATTAACTTGATTTTTGTTTTCCAAAAGTTGTTCGGTCTTTTTCGTAGTTTGTTTTGTTTGTTTATTCATTCAAGAGTTTTGATTAACATAATATTTGATAGGGCCTGCATGATATGTAATTTATTAATATGTCAAGGAAATTAGGATTTCTTTAATTTAAGTGAATCCTAATAAAGTTAAATAAGACAAGGTATTATGGATTTCAAGAAAATTTTGGGTTTAAATAATAAATTTGGGTCAAGTTATGAATATGAACTTTTGGTCCAATAAGTCTTGATCCAATTGACTAGTTTGACCACGTTTTGATCAAAATTGACCAAAGTTGACTTTGATTAAAATTTTTGTGTAATTTGTGTAATTTTAAATTTGAATATTGATGTGATTATATATATTTTGGAATAAATTAATTGAAACAATATGCCACCAAAGATACCTCTATTGTAAAAATTAATTTATTTTAAAATATAACTAGTTGGGTACTTGTAATTTTGCAAATATTGATTGGTCCCAAGGAAGATCAATGTTTAACAATATTGCATGTGCACTTGTGATAATAAACATGTGATAATTATTCAACTTTTTACATGTGAATTATAAATTGGCCAAAAAAAATTATTTTTTAACATGTTATTATTGCCAGTACTTATTACTATGTCAAGATATCAGTTAGAAGTTAGTATTTTTGTCCAAAAATAAAATTTTAATAGAATATTGGTATCTTGAGATAGGGTTATCATTATTTGAATTTATTATTATTTTGATTTATGTGAGTTTGTTTTAATTATTTTATATTTTCTGTTCTGTTGCGAATAATCTTACGAATATTACTATCAATACCAATAATATTTCTATGCTGAATGGCACAAATTTCAAGTCTTGAAAAGAAAATCTCTTGATAGTACTTGAAATAATGGATCTCGACTTTAAGTTAATGGATGATTCTCTTCCACGTCTTATAGATAAGAGTACATCTGATGAAAAAGGGGATAAGGAAAGGTGGGAGAGATCAAATCGCTTGTGTCTGATGATTATTAAAAAAGCCGTTTCAGAAGCATTCAGAGAAACAATGTCAGAAACGACAGTTATTGCTAAAGAATTCCTTCAGAACATTGAAAAAAAATTTGTCATGAACGAAAAGATTGAAATTAGTACGCTCTTAACACGCCTAGTTTCAATGAAATATAATGGTAAAGGTAATATCAGAGAGTATATCATGAATATATCTCATTTTATTTCGAATTTAAATGCACTTAAATTGATACTCTATTAAGAGTTACTAGTGCATTTGATTTTAATATCTCTTCCTACATAATTTAACATGTTTAAGGTGGGTTATAACTGTCAAAAATAAACTTTGTTTCTAAATGAACTCACCTCACACTATGTAGAGGAAGAGAAAACGTTAAAGTAAAATCAAACAGAGAGCGTTCATTTGATTTCAACCATTAATAATAAAAATAAGGGATTTAAAAGAAAGAAAGATAAAGAAACTACATGTATGGCACCTCAAAAGAAACAACAAAAGAAATCGTTATTTTGGACAAATTTGATTATTTTTGTTCATTTGAAAATAAAAAATTTAAATTATTTCATAATTCAAAATTGATTGGTTCTGATTCTTCAATGCATTATAATAATCTATATTTAATTGATATAATTGTCTCATTTAATAAAATTCTGTATTTTAGTGTCAGAAGAGTAAAGAGAAAATTAACCAATGAGAATTCGACTGCATTATGGCATAAGAGATTAGAACATATCTCTAAAAAGACTTATGTCAAATAAAATTTTCGACCTCTTGAATTTTACAGATTTTGATGATTGTATTAACTGTACAAAAGGAAAATAAATCAATAAAAGGAGATTTGAAATCAATAGGTCTTTAGACGTCTTAAAACTTATACATACAGATATTTATGGGTCATTTTCTACATCTGTTTAGAATGATTAATAATATTTTATAACGTTCATAGACGATTTTTCAAGATATCGCTACATATATCTCATTTCTGAAAAATCACAGTCACTGAACGCGTTCAACAAGTTTAAAACTAAAGTTGAAAATCGAGTCAACAAAAGAATCAAAAGCATTAAATCTGATCGTGATGGTGAATACTATGACAAATATAACAGTTCAGATGAACAATGTTCAGGGCCATTTGATAAATATCTAGAGAAATGCGGTATCGTCCCACAGTACACTATGTCAGGTTCACCCACTATAAATGGTAGAGTTGAAAGACGAAATAGAACGTATAAAGACATGGTAAGGAGTATGATATATCATTCTACCTTTCCAGAATCACCCTAAGGAGAAGCACTTAAAACTGTAGTTTATATTCTTAACAGAATTTCAACTAAAGCAACTAACAAAATTTCATATGAGTTTTGGACAAAAAAAAACCTAGTGTGAAACATTTACATATTTGGGGATATCCAATTAAGACAAGACCTCATAGTCCAAATAAAAAGAAACTGGATTCAAAGACGATTTGCTGTTTTTTTATTGGATACCTTGAAAGATTAAGGGGTTACAAGTTTTACGATCCCACGACTAAATTGATTTTCGAGATGAAAAATGCTCGATTCTTTGAGGATGTCGAGTTTGGGGGAGAAGATACAGTAAAGAACCTTGTCTTTGAAGAGAAATATGTTAATATTTTCATAGGTGTCATTGATATTGTTCAGGATCTTATTCCTGACTTTGATCGTGATACAACAAATTAAGACAATATCGAAGAACAAATTGTAATAGAAGAACAAACTCTACCTACTTCAGAACTAATGCCATTAAGAAAATTCACTAGAGAAATGAGAAGTATAGTGCCAGATGATTATATTATTTTTCTCCAAAAATATGAGGATGATACTGGATTAATGGAAGATGACCCAATCAACTTTCATCAAATCATGAAAAGTTTAAATTATCGAAAGTGGATCGATACCATGAATGAATAGATTAAATTCATGAAAGGCAATGATGTCTGAAATCTTGTTCCATTGTCAAAGGAACAAAATTCATTGGTTGTAAAATGGATATTTAAAATTAAAAAAGATTCGAAAGGTAATATGAAAAGATACAAAACTCGTCTTGTTCTTGAGAAATTTGTACAAAAGGAAGGTATCGACTATAAAGAAACGTTCTCTTTGATCTTTTCGAAGGACTCTTTTAGATTTATCATGGCATTAGTGGCGCACTTCAATCTTGAGTTAGATCAGATGGATTTAAAGACAGCATTTCTCAATAATAATATTGATGAGATGATCTAAATGGTACAAGCAGAAAACTTTGTATTGGGAGA